CACCTAAACACTCCCCCTGCCAAGAACAAAAACCATCACAGATCAATTGGTTTGTTTGTGTGCCAGCGCTGCATGGTATTTCTTCCGGAATGTTATCTCCCTTTTAATGCTTGGGAAGTTAATAGCAAATTTTTCCATTTTGAGAAGTATGACATTATTGATCTCCCTCTGCTTGAGTGTGGTCTAACTTCAATTCCTTCCTAGAACAGCTTCACATCCTTTATAGCAGTTTTACGTGATGCCTATTTACATGTGCCTTCTTAACAAAGGCCAAAGGGTAGTGATGTTACTGAGTTTGGTTCCAGGACCAACAATTTGATCTAGACCTCCCAGGCGATCTGCATCCCTTCTCTGCCTCTCGTACTTATGCAAAACATTTTGTATAAACCTATGTTCAAAAGAAGTTCAGGTATTGTACGGGTTGTGTGTCCTATAACATCTCTTGTAGCATTCTTAATTAAGGCTTGCATAGGACTAGCCTCATTTATTTTGCTTAAACACTAGTTCTTCTAGACTTTTTCAACTTTCCAAGTGAAAATTAAAATTTTCTGAACTAAATCTTATACGGTTCAAAGGGTGATTTTGTAGTGATAAAGTTCCAAAGAACTAGGAATAACCAGTCGACTTGAAAATTGAAATGCTTCAAAGTTTTACCTAGACTTATTGGAAATAGACAATGTTCCTGTTGGTGAATCTTGAACTATGAAAAAAAATCCAGCCAAAAAACTTCTATCAGGGAATTTTTTTAATAATGTCGGTTAATGTTATAGGTTAGACTATTTCTTGAGAGTGCCCAAAGGCTATCACTAGAGTGGGGTGATATACCAGTTGTGCTTGCTGGAGATCTTAATAGTATGCCCCAGGTAATTTACTTACTCTGAAACATAGAAAATGTTATATTGGATCTTGCAGATCTAATTTTCTGTTTATTGTTGCTCAGAGTGCAATGTATCAGTTTTTGACTTCAAGTAAGGTGAGTCCTAGCTACCGAACTTTGTGATATTTATGTTCTGCACATCGGTTTACCTTCTTCAAATTTAAATATTTTACTTTCTCTAAATCACTTGGCATTTGGAACAGTTGGACATCCAAATGCATGAACGGAAGCAAATTTCTGGCCAAATCTATCCATCGCAAAATAGAAGCTTCAAGTCAAGGTTCTTTATGTGCTCTCTATAATTTATGCACACCTAATTGATGCCTTACCAATTTCAAATGACAAATGGTTCTAACTTTAACAATAAGTGGCTAATGTATCTTTCACTTGTGGAGTATTACTTGCTCATAAATGAAGTCCTATAAACGTTGAACAGCTTAATTTATAGATGGAGTGATGAGGAGCTAAGGCTTGCTACCGGGACAGGAGCTAGTCACCTGATACATCAATTACAGCTGAGCAGTGCCTATGCTGGAGTTCCTGTATATTCTCTTCTTGCAAAATTTTCCCTGCTTCAATTTTTTTTTACTGAATCTCTGCAATTATTTAATTGATTGTAGCATATATTTTCATTTGTTAAAATCTTTTTAAAAAGAAAAGAAAAAGGGTATTACCTATACCTTGGATTCCCTTAGTCTCTTCTGATTAAATTCTTTAATCAATTACTGTTAAAATTTAGAGCAAAAAAGTATATTTCCCCTCGAGATTGAATTAAAGAAAGGATAGGGGAAAAAAAGAGAATTATCATAAGGTCAAAAGGAGGGGAAAATGGCAAACCATAACAAATTGAGAAGAAAGCTGGAAAAAAGAAGAGCATGAAAAAGAAAAGCTGGGCAAAAGAGTTTCAGGCTGTGATTTATGGTGGGGACAGCTTCCTTTACCTTACTATTCTTCATGTTCTCTTTTTTCTTCTTTTCCTTCTTATTCTTCTCTTTTTGTTTTCTGTCCCCCTCTTTTTCTTTCACTGTACACGTGCTTTTTTTTTGGGTGGGGTGGGGGCGGGGCTGTTTTTTCCCTGCTCTTGCTTACTTCTGTTGTCTTTTCACTATTGGTGGTGTTTTTTCCCTTAATCTTAGCAGTTTTCTGTAGAAATACAAATAGATGCTCTAAATGAGCCCAAGTTGGAATTCCAAATGCTTAAATAATTCGAAACGTAGGGGTTAATCTTTTTCTCTCCCAAAAGTTTTCTTACCTGCTTATTATTTTGCCTTTGGCGAACAGGTTTCGGTTTTTAGAGCTTTAGTCCCATGTTGCTTGTAGGTGATGTCTTCGTATTTTTAATGTTTAGGGAAGCTCTGGAACCAGGGACAACTCTGGAGAACCCTTGGTGACATCATATCACTCCAAGTTTATGGGGACTGTTGACTATATATGGTACTCTTTACTTTAAAGGAGCAGTGGATAAACTTACCTGAAATTGAGAATTTCTTTCATATGTCAATGGTATTTTTTTTCTTTTTAAACATTGTGAGGTTCTACAGGCACACAACAGAGTTTGTTCCAGTAAGAGTTCTTGATACCTTACCTATTGATATTTTAAGGAGAACAAGAGGGCTTCCTAGTAAGGTATATTAAGCTATGGCTACTATGGAAAACATTTAAGTGCTTTGTTTCTGTAGAGGATATGATAAAAATGATGACTTAGAAATGTTTTTCTGTTGGAAGGCGCATTCTGAGAAGTTACAGCAATGCTAAAAATATCCTATAGCTGAACTTGGAAGATGGGGATGAAACCACCATTTTTCCCTCGTTTTTTTTTTTTTAATTATAGAAGTCACCTTTTTTCCTATAATCACCTTGATGAACCGTCTGTGTCGGCCATGCACAAGCTGCATCAATTATTTAGATGGCATTCCGCTAGTTTGCATTTAATCTTGGTTCATCGATGTAACCAATTTACTAATTTGAGTGACTAACCAACACCGGTAAAATTTTAGTGAGAGTTCCTTTTACTGGAGAATAACAACTTGATTTTATAGCAGTGTCTGCAGAAGAAATGAATTAATGAGTTCATTATAGCTGATAATATAGCCTGTACATTGGCAGGGACCTCTTACATGTTTGTGCCACTTCAAAATTAGTGCGACGTTCAGGGAAGAAAATGTCTGGTCAGGGGATATTATCTCCCACGACTGATTTCGTTAAATACTAGTAAGGTTGTAAGGCCATATCCGAAGTAGTCTTCCTTTTCCCTTCACTCTTTTATAATATCATACTTTGTTGGAAGTGAGAGGGTTATAATTTCGCTGATATCCCATTTTAAGGATTTCATGTAAAAAAATAAAATATGGGATAACGTAAACATGCCAAAAGTACTGATTTTTGCTAAGATTAAATTCTCCAATTTTTTTAATGCATAACTAAGTATCGTACTATATTTAACTTTCTTTTTCCTGCAGAAATGGGGAAGTGATCATCTTGCTCTAGTGTGTGAATTGGCTTTTACTGATGGAGGCAGTGAGACTTGACCATTCCTTCCCGTCCAACTTCTTCTTCGTAGTAGCTTGAAATACCATGTGGCAGGGCGACCTTGCATGATGTTATACTGCACTGGTGCTTGACTTTGAAAAGCAGCTTCATGCATTCATTCAGCATAAGGAATCTGTAACGATAAGCTTTTCAGATGCGGTGCATATAAGATCCTGGTGCAAACAGAAGGAACATAAGTACAAGGAGGAACATGGGAAGTTGGATGAAAGGATTTGCGAGGAGTGGAGACCTCTTAACCTAGTGCACAATCTTGTGATTCATCTAATCGTGGATTTTGAACGGATTTTGTTTCATATGGCAAGGTTTATGAATGAGGGAATCAGCTTTTGTTCAGTACATAATTGATAGGAAAGAAAATCATGACTTGTGGTTCAAAGAACTTTTTATATGCTGTCTCTGTTCTGATGATCAGGAAATACAAATGATTGTCCCTTAAGGTTCTGCTCTGAATACACGTCTCGATGTCCCTTATGTGGTGGCGCAGGGTTGCAAGAGCATTGATCACCGATCCCATGGTCAGTAAGATAATGCTGCGATATGCATCAGGGTCATAAAATAATCTTCCATTAAATAACTGTATCGTGGTGTTTTGTCCCGGTAAATAGTTCGGCACGGGCCACGGAATGTTGATTTGTTGACAATAGCAGCAGTGAAAGAAAAAATTTCCAGAGTGTGGATGGCTGGTGGGAGTTGTTGTTGATAGTATGCGCAGACCACTCAAAATGTCGTCAAAGGACTGTCAGGTGAAACAAACTACAACTTCGTATTTGATGCCAGGCCATGAGAAAAGTGTTGGTGATCAATTCCCTAAGATAACGAGCAACAAGAACAGTGGGAAGCTGTTCTCTTGGGAAGTAACGGATACTGGTTAGTCAAAGCATTTGAGACTCCGAGTTTTCATATTAGTGTTAATTAACGTGTTTCCTATGTGATTATAGTGATGACAGTGCAGCTTTGCCTGAAACAAACGGTTTTGCATCCCGACAAAGAATGGATTATTCATTGTAACCAGTGAATAAGTACATGCAACCTTAAAAAGAGAGATTTGAACGTTTATGTTGCGTTCAAATATCAAGTCAACTGCCAGTTTAAAAGAGCTGGAACATTTGAAACGTGTAAACCAACTGAAATCTAAAAAGCTGCGAATTTTGAACTTGTGCCTAATTTTGAATCTTGGATTATTTAAAAGCGGAACTTGAACTTTTGAAACTGTCAGTCCTACAGCATTACGCATCTTAGTAAAGAGAATTAGAAAGGGAATCGAGTGATTTAAGGCGAAAATACACTACTTATTATGTAAAAGCCAACAGAAAATTGAAGTCAATGTTTCCAAAAGGTTGGAATACTCTTGGCCTTTTACAGCGACACTAATAATTGTGCTTGCGAATAAACTATACAGCTTTGGATGGCAAACTTTTGAAAAGGGCTAAAAATACTCCTATCTTTTGGAAAATGATTTACTTTTACGCTTCGTATACCTATAAGTCCAAAAATATATACAATGTTATCTTCTGGTCTAAAATTATCCTCGACGAAAATTTATGTGGTCCCTTTTTTAATGTGATGGCAACACGTAATTGGCTCCCTGTCCATATCAAATTTAACCAGCTAGATAACTTTTGAAGAACGTTTGAAAAACCTCAAATTTAAAGGGAAGGTACGGGAAAAGGTGACATTTAAAAAATATGGTCGAATATTTTCGTGTCAAAGATATCTCATACATGTTAACTAATTTTTTGTCATTATCAATAATTAGTTCCTGTTACTTCACCAGTCAACTACATTATGAATTGGAAATTCTGAAATTGTTTACTGGACATAGCAGTTATGCTTGGCTATTCCTTAATACCCATTTAAATTTTTTAAAAATTGAATCCTTATATTTGAAATACGATTTTGTTATGTGCTTTTAACAACAGTTACGAATTGGAGAGAGTAAAACGACCTTTCTCTGAATGCAAAAGGAGCCATTGGCATCCTCCACTAACTGATTCTTTCCCTCTTTTGATATTTCTACTTGTTCATTTCCTTTGTAAAATGGCAGATATCCATCATTTTCAGAAAATATTCATAGCATCAAAGTAATTTAATTCCTGTTGTACCACAACTTCCACCACCCACAACTGGAAGCATGAGAAAGGGGAAAAGGTCCCCTCTAATCAAAGACAGAAGGAAAAAAAAAAGACAAAAAAAACCTCTACCTTTCACCTTCTAGATTCTCCACATAAAATCAAGTAGCAACAACAAAAGTGCAATATGGAGCATATCTTGAATACACAGATTATATCTTTGGCACAATTGAGCTAATATTAATAGTAATAGCTAACAAAAAATAGAATATCATCTATTCTACAAGTTCCTCTTCTTCTTTTTTTCTTTTCTTTACCTCATTAGTGATGGATTAGAGTCAAAAATCCTGGGAAGAACTTCGAAGCAAAAACAAAATTCCCAAGAACTATCTCTCATTGCCCACAATTTCAACTTTATAACACTCTTTTAACTTACTCGTACTTACGAAACTGATTGATCTTGTATCAACACCTCGTCTAACCATTTAAGCTCAACTTCATCCAATTTTGGCGATTTAGCTCCAACATTATCTCTGAAATCTTCGTTCACGCCATAAACAAATTCCTCCATACCATCACAGCAGAGAAAATTGGTGTCCAAACCTATAAAATCTGTATATGGATCAAAAGTTTGTGTAAAATCCTTACCAAATAGAACATTCTCGTCTAAGCCTAGAAGTTTCAAGTTATTCCCCGAAACTGCAGTTTCTTCGAAGTTCATCATGTTAAGCTCTGCACTAATAGAAGGAGACGTGATTGATTGGTCAGTGCAGTTCACATGACGGTCCTCAATTCCCTTTGTAGACTTTTGACAAATTTCTATGGTTGGTTGTCGGGCTTTTGTTTTCTTCGTGATACTGAATTCGGTCATCTCCACAAGGCTATTGCTTATGGTGCCTTGTACTATCAAAGGATCTTCATATAGCATTTGATCCTCAAATCTCGGGTTAAAATCTTGACAACCTGAAGGCGGCAGTAACAATTGCTTTTCCAACATTTCTGAAGCTGGTTGCTCTACCTCGAGTACTGGCATTGGATTCGTATCTTTCATTGGAATGTCAATGCACTCAACTGCTGCGGCAGCTGATGATGTTGGTACATCTAGCACCGAAGACGGGGATGGATGCGAGTACAAACTACTGATCCTGTTTGTAAGATGAGAGGAACAAGCCATAGAACAGTCAGGGGGAGCTCGAGGGGAACTCAAATTCTTACCAATTTCGGACAAAATCCTTCGATCAAACTCAGCCTTCTTTGCATCATATGCTTCTGCAGCCGCTTTGACAGTGTCAAAAGTCCCAAGCCATATTCTTTTCCCTTGTGAGGGGTCTCTGATCTCCGCTGCATACTTTCCCCATTTCCTCATCCTAACTCCTTTAGGCAATGATGACGATTTTATCTGCGCCCTCTTATTTTCAAGACTCTTCTTGGAGCTTTTGACCGAACATTTTTCAAAGTCTTTCTCCAATGAAGCACTAGAAATGTTCACTTCCTTAACGACACGCTTGATTCTAACAACATTACGAATATTATGATCATTCTCACTATCAGATTCAGTAGCATCAGGATCATCATAAATGATCCGAACTTTTCTCACTGAACCCATGCAACCATCATTTACCCTCTCCTTATTAGACATCATATCAAACAATTCTTGGGGAAGGCAGGGCATTTGTTGAGAAATTTGGGAAATAGATAAACCCTTAACCCCCCTAAAGAATTAAATCTCTAGTAAATCGTCAGTCCCAAGAAAATTCCAGAAATTCTGTAGCCAAATTAGAAAAGCAGAAGCTTTTTACATGAAAAGCCCCAAAACAAGTCCTGCACATATAAAACACAAAAACCCCTGTAAACCCCATAAACCCATAAATGCCAATGTCACAAGAAATCATGTAAAATCTTTTTGTCTTGACAAGTAGTACAACAAATCATGTAAATCATACAATAGAAAAAAAAAATAGATTTTCTATTTCTCATCACACATAACAGTTTATATGAAACATGCAAAAATTGAAAGATTTAAAGAATAAAGATCATACCTTTCTGGCATGGAAGAAGGTGAGAGACACTTTTCTTGCCTCCAAAATTTAACAAAGAAAACAGAGAATAAAAGGGAATGAGAAAAGGGCCAGAGTTGCTCTGAAGCTGTTCTAGCCAGATCAGTTACACCTGTTGTGATCACAAACGACATATAATCTCCTTTCTGTCTCTTTTTCTTGTTTCTGTTCTGCTTACTCTTTGACAAACAAAATAAAATAGAACAAAAGAAGAAGAAGAAGAGAGAATTGGAAAAAATTGGGCATAATATTCACTGGAAATAGAAGTGTAGAAGCAGTAGAACATCAGTGAAACTCTCTTCTTCTTCTTCTTCTTCTTCTTCTTTACCTTTTCCCCCCAAGGAAAGTGGAGAATATGACACTTTCAAGAACCAATATAAGCGTCCGCGTGTAATCTCTATGTAGGACTCTCAACTCAATTTTTTTTTTTATACTATTTGTATTTCTCAAATTTCCTTTTAAAATTGTTTTTTGTTTCGGTTGAGACTTTCTATATTTCTTTTCTTTGCTTCCTTTTGGCCTTTTACTTTTATAATGGACTTCGATTTCTTTACTAATTTGGCGAGGTTTCAATAATTGGTTCAATTAATGTTTGAGAAATAACGTCCGGTTTTGGGAGAAGAAGCGTTATTTCTTTTGTTTTTCTTCTTTGGTAATTGGTAGGAGTAGTAATTTTTTAGAAGTACCTTTTGGTGATTTTGGAGAGGGGAAAAAAAGCACGTGGGTGATTTTTTTTATTAAGAAAAGAAAACAAAAGAGAGTAAATTATTTTAAAGGGAATGAGATATCTTTACCATTTTTTAAGGCAATAATAATGTTCGGGGTCAGACTATTTCACGAGGTATTTGCTATTCTCAATTGCATAGGTATCGAGTCTTAGATTGAATAAAATTACCTAACATTTTTTGTCTTTATTGAAATTGAAATCTATTTTCCATTTCCTCACCCCCACTTTGTCCACAGGTTATTTATCGTGTGATATAAGTGAAAAAAATTAATTATTTAGATCATGAATATTGCAAAATAAATAAATAAATTTAATTCCATATACCTTTGGTAAAAGTAAACCTTTATTGTTGCTATCTTGTGTATGGAACTTGATTCAGCGTGCAATTGTACTTGACAAACATGAACTCGAGGAGCTTTTGGCTTAATATCATATTTTTTTCCTAGTTGGAGACACTATTTAGTGACTGATCAATAATTAAATATTGCTTGTCAATTTATTATCACACGATTAGTGCAATTGATTAGTACTTTTTGAAAATACTAATCTTACTACCCTTTACTTGCAATTAGTCAATTACTACCTTTGGAGTTTTTTCGAGCATTATAACCAAAGGCACAATTGACAAAGATATTGTTTTTATTGTTAGCTGTTGTTGACATGCAAAATGATATACTTTATATTCGTTTACGCACTTTAAAAGCTTAAAGCTTACGAAATTTCTAGGATCCCTACACAATCAACTCGATATATTGAATGAGATTGTTTTCTTTGTTAGTATCGTTTAGTAGGATGAGTAACAACTATGTTAAAATTACATTTGTCTCTTTTCGTTTTTTTGAGCCGAGAGTTTTTCGAAAATAATATTTCTACTCTCTTGGGCAGGGGTAAGGTCTACGTACTCAATACCCTTCCAAAAATCCACTTGTGGGATTTCACTGAATTGTTGTTGTTATTGTAATTCGAAAAATACTCTATTAGAGCATTAATTTATGCTTGATTAAGATTTCAAAAGTGCTTGTGAAAAAAAACTACTTTTCAGCTTCTAAAAAATAACTTATGATACTATTCAAAAACGATTATTTTTTTCTTAAAAGTTTGACCAAACAATATAAACAAATGCAGTACTTTTTCATTTCAAACACAATATGACGGTGAATAATGAGTGAATGTTTTCACGAAAAACGTTACGGCAATAACAGTTTTGTTGTTAATGTCACAACATAATTGTTTTCTTTTTCAAAAATAATTGTTCTGTCTCAACTTAAGTACCTGTATGGAAACTTAATTTAAAATAATT